GAAACACGGATTGCACTCAGGGTCTCTGGTATAATGCTGTTATGTGGACCCATAAATTGCTGCACAATTCTCTTTCATTTTTAACACAATTAAATCTTGAACTCTTATGTTTGTGGAAAAACTGTAAAGGTGAACTGAAAGCAACCTGATGCGGTGATGTATCCCCCGTGGCTGCAAAGAGCCTGAAATAACTGTTCTGCTACTGATACAATTTTGTATGTACAGTTGGGGAAAGAGACGGCCGTCTCAAAATCTTACTCCTTGTGCTGTTTCCTCTCTTCCACAGTTTTGGATTGGGTTCTGCATACGTTTTTGTATCACAACTATCACTGTAGTATCTGAGCATCTGCCAGCAGTGCACTTTGTTGGCTTCATTTCTCTTTCCAGTAGGGTGCTCCTGTTTCTGATCAGGAATCTGCAATGGGAACATTTAGTTGCCAAACATGCCTTGGAATCCTTTGCATTTGCTATGGTGTTGCTTCAAAGAGATTCCCAGAACAACTGATATGAAGTATTCCGGATCGCATGTAACATTCAAAGGCTTATGTTTCCCACGATGAAAAGAGAAATAGGGGCACCTTTTTGGAAAATGAGAGGTATGTGTGCGGAAACACCACCGCTCGTGGGAGCAGCTTGGGATTTGCCTGGGAGTGACCACAACAACCATGATATTATTCAAGTGCCTCTTTAGAAATATAGTGCTGTAAATAGCTGCCTATTTTAATCTTAAGGCTACCCCTGACCTTGCAAGAACCTATTTGAAAGCTGGATAGTAATGAATCAGCATAGAAGTGCTGGGCTACAGTAACAAGTATTAGTTGATTAAGTGATAGTATTAAGTGCACTGTTGAGTGTGAACTCATTCAGATTTTTACAACATCATTGGTTTGTTGCACAGTGAGACTAGCTTTTGTATTAAAAAGCTATTTTCTGATCCAGTAGTAGTACAATCTACCTTATCTGCTGGATCAGTTTCATTAATTGATAACAAATCCTTTTTAGTTTTCAAGAAATGCTACAGAAAAGCCCCACATAAAAAGAGAATCTAGTCTAGAGAGAATTGCACAAAAGAAGCGAGCAAAACAACAACATTGGATTTAACAGCAAATCGGGGCCCTAATTCAGTGGCAGAGAGACAATACATTTTGTGGAAAATGTTGGCAGAATACAGGGGGCTTTGAGTATGGACAGTGCTGACTAGCCTCTCAAACAGCTGTAGTTGTGAACAATGTGGATTAACATTATCCCAGGCTTCAGCACTAAGATAAGCTATAAAACTTGCAAGAGTTTGGCCAACTCCTGTATTAAAATTAGTGTTCCTGGTTCTTTATAGTTAGAATGAATTTGTCTTTTAGCTGAAGATTTTTCATTTGGCATGTTTCCTTTAACTAAAGATGTTCTTTAAAGAGGCTACATTGAAATCATCTGGAATAGTTGCATTATAAAATACCTTAGTGAGGGGATTTTAAACACTCAAGGCAAAAATATATATAATATGTTTCTTCAGTCATTAAAAACTTCTAATTCATATGGGCCAGACATCCAAACTGAATGTTCATTATGGCTAAATCCTGCGGCTCTTAGGGAAAACTCCTATTTGGCCTAAATTATTTAGATAACTTAGAGATCTGTTAGAATCCGTTGATTTTTCTATAGCTTCTGCCACACATTAAGAAATTTAATTCTGCACTGAACAAAGCACTTGAAGTTAGAATACACCGAAAAGTCCTGCACTAGCTGGCAAATGGACTAGAGAATCTAAATAGACGTTTTCCATTTCTGGCTTCTATTATTCTACAATTTAAAGGTAGTGTTCATATGCTGTGCAGGATTATGTTTGGCAGTATATTGTAACTTCCTTAGGGAAGAAGAGGAGGAAGGTTAGCTGCTAATCTAGCATGGAGTGAAAGGGCCCAGTTCAGTTGTCCAACTTTTTCCTATGGAGAAGCATGTTTTAATGGATTGACTTGCCAACATGCCCCCCCCCCCTTTCAGGGTTCTGCAGACCATCTCTTCTCTTACTCATCATCATGCTCACATAATGCCCCTTCCCAGCTTATAATTTATTTATAAGGAAACAGCCCTGTTGACAGGGAAGGGGAGGGGGGAAAGCAGAGGGGGCAATTGCCAAGGGGCATGGATTATTTAAAAGGATCCAGGGGCCATGGTAGCAGCAGCTGAGAACTTTGCTAGGCCCTTTGAAATCACCTGGAAATCACCTGCTAGGCCCACTTGAAATCACCTGGAACAGCTAGCTCCCAGCATGCCACTCCTTCCACCAGCACCACCCCACCTGGCCAGAGCCATGAGACTCTTCTCTGCCTCTCTCCCTTGACCAAAGCCACAAACATCTGTCCAGAGAAGCCCTGAGCCTCCCCTCTTCCCCCCCCAAAGCAGACCTCTCCTGGTCTGGGGAAAAGCACCTCTTCAAAGATGCTTTTGATATGCTCTATGCAGGTTCTGGGGCAGCTGAATAGCAAATACTGCTCGGGGAAGGGAGGGGAGGCGTAGCTGTCGCTGTTGTTGTCCCAGGCAACTGGGGGACAGGGCTGAAGCCAGCCCTGGGGTCCTCTGGCCAGGTGGGGACTGGAATGCAACCAGCCAGGGGGTCCTCTGGTCAAGGGTGGGTAATCAGGTTTTCTCTGGGTGAGTGGGGACTGGTGGTTCTAACTGAGGGAGTGGAGCAGGGGCAGACTGAGTGTTCTGTCCTAGTGCCCAGAATTGCTGTCAGTGGGCCTGCATGGAAAAGTATCGCAGTTTAGAAAATAGAAATGAGGACAAACCAGGAACGGATGATCAGCCAGTTCTCTGTAGATCACAAGCAAGTACTCAGCAAGTCTATCAAAATCATCATCTTGATTTTTAGCTGCATGTGGGGGAAAGGAAAGAAGCTAGGATTTGAAAACTAATGCAAAATGTAAATGTTGTGAACATATATATGAAAGCTTCTATGGCAGTTTAGAAAATAGAAATGAGGACAAACCAGGAACGGATGATCAGCCAGTTCTCTGTAGATCACAAGCAAGTACTCAGCAAGTCTATCAAAATCATCATCTTGATTTTTAGCTGCATGTGGGGGAAAGGAAAGAAGCTAGGATTTGAAAACTAATGCAAAATGTAAATGTTGTGAACATATATATGAAAGCTTCTATGCAACCTCTTTTTAGATTACTAAGAGTTGACAAAAAGTCATGTGATGCCATAGGAAAAACAATCTTCCCTGGCTTTGCAATAAAGCATATGATTTAACCCGTGATGTAGGCATCACAATTTAAGTTATATGCAATATGCCTATTCTTTAGATTAGTTCTCAAATCATGCTCCCTGTGCCTCATGCAGTTAGTCCACAGAGCTGTTTCATTCACAGCGATGAAAAGTCTTAGGCTTCATGCATTGATATTGCTCGATGGTAGTACAGGTTGCACCTGTATAAACCGGAACTCTCTGCTCAGTGGTCCAGACGGACCATGGATATTCCAGGATCAGACATTCCCAGCACATTGTGGGGAGTCAGGAGCCGGGCTCTACATGTCAGGGGGAGGTGATGCACGGCCCAGCTGGACTGCAGGGGGGCAGGAGCTGGGAAGCTCGGCATGTGGCTCAGCTGGGCTGAGGGGGGACAGGAGCCAGCATGCAGCTCATTTGGGCTCTGGAGTCTGGGAGCTGGCGTGTGGCTCAGCTAGGCTGCAGAGGGATCCAGGAAGCTTGTGGGAGGGGCAGGGCAGAGGGGGGCCAGCTGCAGGAGGGCCAGAAATGACCTCCCTAGTATAGAAAAATCCCTCATCTGGGACCAGTCAGGTCCTGAGAATGCCTGACCCTGGAGGTCCAACCTGTATCCTGAAATTACTTTTTTAAGGTGATGATTTGATTCTTGTGTCCTGGAAAGTAACAGGGGGGTCTGTGTGTGTATTTGCCTGCCTAAGACTGGGCGGTTAGCTACCGGAGACTGCAGTTTGTTTCTCTTTTTTCTTTTGTAACCCCCCTTTTCCTCCCTGGGTTACTTGGGAGCAGGTCACACTCACAGGTGTGCCTGAGCACCTGATGTTTCAAACATAAAAGGAGATCCTGAGTACCCCAGTGGTGGTGGTGTTTAGTTGGGGATTCCCTATCCACCCCCTGCTACAGTCCCTTGCTCCTAAAGAATATACAATGGCAGTGCCTCCACCTGGAGGGCCCTGTACACACTTAGGCTATGTTTACACTACAAGGTTTTTGTGCAAGAACTCTTCTGCAAAAGGCTTCTTGCACAAAAACCCTGCAGTGCAGATAAAGCCTTATGGTGTGCCGTGGGAGCCTTCGGGAATAAAATTATTCCAGTAATATCCTGGAACTAACTTGAAGACAACAATTATAAGTAAGATGTATCTAATTGATTACGTTAGAATTAACACACCTTTACTTAACAACTTAAAGAAACAGGGTTGAACAGATTAAAAGTGAACAAAATCAATTAAAAAAGTACACAGAAAGAAAGGAAACACATCTATTTGGCATTTATACTGCCACCATTTATCCCACCCAGAGCATGTAGTCCTCTGGATTCAGAGTCCCAGACACCTGCTTGCATGGGCACGCTTGAAAGTCTGCAGCTGGAGTGGAGACAGCACTGTGCAGGTTCTGTGTGTGTCGGTCCAGGCAGGAAGCCAGCTTCAAAATCTCTCTGCCACTGGAGCAGGGCCCCACCAATTGCCAGCAGCTCTGGTTCACTGGGCAGATCACTCTGGCTCTCATTGGCAAGGCTTGCCGAACCACGGCGAGCCCCACTCACCAGCTGCGCTGTCCGGAGATCTGCACATGCGCAGATCGTTCTGCGCATGCACAGATCGTTCTGCGCATGCACAGATCGCCCGAACCCGGCTCTTCCGGGTTGCAATCTATTCACCACGGGTGAGTAGACTGCATTATTTGTTGAGCCCTGCTCATTGGACCCAGAGTCAGTTTGGCTTCTGTGCTCTGTCCCAAGCAGCACTTTCCCAAAGAGCCCAATTACTCACAGTTACCTCCTGCAAGTTTATGTAGGCTCCTCTCAGCCACAGGCACAGCCAGTCTCTCCCCTCTAGGGACAATCAGCAGCCTCTGAAGCATCCTGCTAGATCCAAGCCCCGCAGGCTTTCAGTCCCAGGCTCTAGCTGCAACACAACAGCTCCTGGACTGGATAAGGCTCCTCCAAAGCAGCCTGTCTCCTCTCTCCCAAAATGGAGACTCCTAACTCTCTGTTTGCATAACCTGAAAGAGACACTGTTCCCCCTTTTTCCCAAGGGCTGATGGGAGTTGTAGTCTCTAGGGCTAGATTGCAGCACAAAAGGATCCTCCCAGAAAAAGTCAGGGGGCTACACTTTTTTTAAGTAGCTCAGTCTAGGACACACAGGCATCCTGGATACTTCTCTTTTTTTCCTCTTGGTCAACTAAAAATTAACAAGCATCTCCCAGCACTTTTCACAGGTGCCTTATGTCTCTTTCTGTGCTGGGTATTTCTTTGGTGTAAGCTCAAACTTGATCAAAATTTACAGGTGAAATCAAATTGAATGCACAATAACACAGAGGAGGACAGTAACAAACTACAAAATGGCATGAAGCAGTGGTGGTTGCAGGCAATCAGAGGATTTAGTCCTAATAAATGTAAAGCCTTGTAGACCAGAACAGGAGAACAAATCAGCACAAATACCAAAGGGGAGTTCATAGTCAAGTGCCTATGGCATCAAAGTAAGTTAATTTTAATCCTATCTCCTTATTTCTCTATATAAAAAGAATGTTCCCGCCAGACGACAGAATGACGTCATCAGAATAATCAGGCTCTCTCAGCGAAGCGAAAGTGGCCAGAGAGAGGCGGGTAGGTGAGCATAGCAAGCAGAGGGCACATCCCCCTACTTATGTCTTAATAATACGTTTTTCATATACACAAGGAATAAAAATGTTGCAGGGAAGGTGTGGAATCCAAACTGAAGAGTAAAGTGGTATGTCACAAAAACTCTTGTCTTTAAGAAGTAAATCCCAATACTGCATGACAAGGTTTGAAATCAATGGCATCAATGCTTTTTGACACTGCGAGTCAGATCACAGTCCATTGAGCCCTGTCCCTGGCAGACAATCCTCCCCACTCAAATATGGACAAATGGAGCCAATTGTGTAATGTTGCATGTGCAAGGGGAAAAGTCTTCTCTGGCCAGTAGTGACCAGCTTATGCTGTGAAGCATGCAATTTGATTATCCTTACCCTAACAACTGTAGTTATGCGAGTAGCTACTATCAATTGTAAACTTATCCAGGCTTTTGTAAATTCCAGCAAAGTATGTGACTGTATGCCCCATGGCAATGAATCCCTGTGGCTGATTATACTAGTTTATAAAATAACCTTTAAAATCTAAGCTTGTGGTTCCCATCACAGTGCCATATATGTGTACAATTAGGATAAATTGGGGCTCGAGAGACAAGGTTTTGGCAGTATCTCCTTACAGAAAAAGCTTTGTCCGCACATACAGAAAGAAACACATTGGCATGTGGTACTAGTTATTATAGCAACTAATAACTCTAGGACAAATCCTGAGGGCCTTGCTTATGTAAGGGGACTGTTACCCCTTACTAAAACTCTGTGGAAGTTTTTGGTTTGCCAGCTCGCAGTATCTGAGGGGAAGAGTTCATGAGACTGATTGACCCCAGAGACAATGGAAAGCAGCCAACACTCCAGCTCAGCCTGATTGACAGGTTGGACAGGCCAGTGAGGAAGGGGAGAGGCCAGGCCCCGTCCTCCCTGTGAGCTGGGATTGTTCTGGCTCTCTCTCTGAACAAACAAGCTGTGTGCAGAAGAGGTCCTGCAAAGACAGAGAGCTGAAATAGGAGTACAAGCTGTGTGAAGAAGTCCTGCAAAAACAGAGAGCTGAGAGACTGCTAAGAGGAGCAAGCTGTGCTGAGGGGCAGTTTTTGCAGCAGCAGAGCCAGGCATACACAACTCAAGGAGAGCAGACCCTGTGTTGAGCAGCAGACTGGCAGTGCTCAGAGAGCCAAAAGGAACAGAGAAGCAACACAAGGAGCTGGAACTGGCCAAGCAGCACAGCCTGCAGCTGGATGTGGTGAGCACCTGGGACCAGCAAAGTGTGGGGAAAGGCTCTGGACTGGGAGAGGGGTCTGGCCACTTCGAGCTTGAGACTGTGTGGTCACTACCAGAGCTAGCGTGTCCAGCCTGTAGCCCCCCCTGCAGCATATCCAAGGCCTCTAAGAAAGAGACTGTGGACTGTCCTTACACTCTGCAGACTGCTGTTTTGATGTCCCTGTGCTACAGAGCAGGGCTGGGTGTTCTCATTTAACCATTCTCATTTTGTCTTATTCTTTTCTCTTTAATCAGTTGTTGTTTAATAAATTGTATTTGCTTTGAACCTTATGAAGTGATCACTGGGCCAAGAAGGCCTGCAGTGTAAAGAGAGCACCTCGGAGTGGGGGCACCCTGACTTCTGCCCCTAGTGGCTACAAGGTCAGGGATTAAGCCCCAGGAAACCTGGGCCCAGCCTTGTTGGGGTTTCAAGGGCTCTGCTACTCCGGAGAGTGGAGGGGGAGCCCTCAGGATCAGGGAGCCGTGGGGGAAAGGAAGTGGGAGCGGGGACTCAGATCCTTTCGCTGGTTCATTTCACCGGGGTGTATAGAAGCCAGGAAAGTTCCCCACAATAGCGGGATCATTCCCCCGCTTACACTTAGTTTTTACTCAGCCAACACTCCCATTGAAGGAAAAGAATAAGTCGAAGTTGAAGAAGGATCTCAGAAATTGATCCTAACCGTAAGTAAGAAATATCCACACATAACAAGTAAGGTGAAATAGTTATGACATGACTATAGACACATCAACACTAGAAGGGCTAGGCCCAGATTCTGTCCTGATGTACATCCCTGGCACCCATCACAGCTAAAGATATGGCAAAGAGAGGAAAGCAGGGCAGAATTTGGCCCTCCATTTTTACCAAGTCCTTCTTCACACTTACTTACAGTGACATCAGTGGATGTTTGCCTGCTGAGCCGTGCTAGCCCTTGTGTTTATTAAGCCATAAACTAGGGCTGCCCCATAGTTAAACTTGTATTCAAACAAACAAAAAGGAGCCAGGTAAGATCCAGATTTAAGCCTATGTTCAGGCTTGTGGGCAAAATATGTGTTACGGAGAAGGTGAGTATAAGCATCTCCTAGGAAGTGAAGTAAAAAGCAGTAAGAATGGGAATTGAGGAAAAATATAAGAGCCTAAGACAGTGGTTTTCAAACTACGGGTCACAACCCAGGACTGGGTTATGAAATGTCAGGCACGGCATCTCGTTGCTGCAGGGGGATCAGGTGACCAGTGGGGGTGCTGAGGCAGCTACCTTACTGTCCTGGCACCAAAGACTGTGCTGTGCCCCAGAAGCAGCAAGCAGCAGGCCTGGCTCCTAGGTGGGGAGGAGAACACACAGAGGCTCCATGCACTGCCCCTGCCCTGAGTGTCAGCTCAGCTTTCCCATTGGCTGGGAATGTGCTGCCGGTTGCTTTTGGGGTGCAGCTTGGTCTGCAGTGCCAGGCGACGCAGGAAGTCTGCTTTAGCACCCCCACTGCACCACTGACCAGGAGCTGCTCAAAGTAAGCCCCGCCTGCCCCAGCCCTGAGTTCCCCCCGCAAAGCCAGACCCTCCCTTCTACAGCCCAAAGCTCTTATCCTCAGCCTTACCCCAGAGCCCACACTCTGGGTCAAATTATTAGTCAAATTATGTTGGGTTACGGGAATCAACAATTTTCTTCAACTGGGTCATGAGAAAAAAAGTTTGAAAATCTCTGGCTTAAGAGATCACTGAAAGCTGAGTACCTTCCTTGTGTCATTCCAGATTTTGTGAGTCATTATCTTAGAGTGAAAGGAATTCGCTATCCATGTGCCGGCTTGAGGAAAAAAAGAGACATGAATGTTCTCAGTATGCAGCATGGGGGTGATGCAGTGCAAAACCAAACCACCACACACATACACACACACACACGCTCATAAAGCACCTCCTCCAGAATTGTTCAAAGAGGCATAAACAGTACTTAGTGATGCCAAATCCACTGGCTCCTCTACTGATTATTTTGGGATAAAATGCAAATTCCAATATAAAAGAAAATAGACGCTAACCCCCAAAGATCATGTGCCAGTTCTAGAATTTAACAACTGTGGCTTAAAGAACAGGCCATATAATAAAATTACCTTTTTTTATAATAGTGACAAGGGAAAATAGCATGGCTCATTGTGGAAAATATAGGGGCCACATCAGCCTTCCCGCTATAGGTACAGGACAAGCATGGAAGTTTCACTCCTATGACTGTAAAACTGTTCAATAGAGGAGAAAGGGGAAAAAAACAAACCCTCAACTTGGTAGCATTTTTTTCTCACTCATCATCTCCTTGAATCCACAAAAACTTCCCCTCCCACACATACTAAGATAGGCACCCAGATACTACTTTGATGAGCATGGTAAAAAAAACCTATGTAGAGTACAATAGCATAGAAAGGAGTGGCCAGGTGGTGGGAGATTGTACCTGAGGACAGCGGCTTTATGCAGTATTATCCCAAATCCAAAGTGACATTCTCATGGACGTTAAGACAACATCCTACTCCAGCATTTCTCAAACTGTGGGTCACGAGCCCCAGGGGTGTCACGAGCAACTTATAGGGGGGTTGCAGCTGGATCTGTTTTTTTTTCTTGCATTTGTGTCTCCCCGGCATCTCCAGACAGTCCGGTCAATTTTCCCCTGCTGCATCTAGTGGGGGCGGGGAAGTTAAGAGCGCTGCAGAGTCTAGTGAAGGGGGGGCAAAAGGGGGCAGTTTCTGGGGACCATGCTAGGGGGGCGCCGGGCTGGGTGGAAGAGGAGCGCATGCTGTTCTGGCCCATGTGACCAGCAGAGACTGGCAGGTGGGCACTTGATGCCTCCCCTACAAGCTGCGAGCTGAGGCAGCCGGGCTGGGTGGCAGAAGCAGCCACTTTGAAAGTAAGATTGCTCCTCCATGCCTGGCTCTGCGGAGGGGAAGAGGGGAGATTTGATTGGAGTGGGGGCTCCCAACGCTGAGGATGCCTGCCTCAGGGGGAGGGGAGAGTGCACTGGGATGGGGGATCCTGAGGGGCCTGGGTCTGAGGCAGGGGGAAGTGCACTGGGATGGGGGGAGGCCTAGCTTTGAGACAGGGGTGAGTGCATTGGAGAGGGGTGAGTGCATTGGTGGTTAGTGTGCAGTCCCAAACTGGACAAAGTGGTGCAACTTTTGCTTAACAACTTTGGCTCCCCTCCCCCCCACACTTTTTTTTTTTTTTTTTGTGGGGGGATCACACAAATTCATTTAGCATTTTAGGGGGTCGTGGTATTACAAAGTTTGAGAACCCCTGTCCTACTCCATAGCCTCAGCCTCTCCTATGGGTAGCAACATCGCATGGCTGAGCCTCTACACAGTTGCCATGGTCTATGGCAGAGAGTCCCAACTTTTTTTTTTTTGGGTGGCAGCAGCAGCCACTTTGAAAGTAAGATTGCTCCTCCATGCCTGGCTCTGCGGAGGGGAAGAGGGGAGATTTGATTGGAGTGGGGGCTCCCAACGCTGAGGATGCCTGCCTCCGGGGGAGGGGAGAGTGCACTGGGATGGGGGATCCTGAGGGGCCTGGGTCTGAGGCAGGGGGAAGTGCACTGGGATGGGGGGAGGCCTAGCTTTGAGACAGGGGTGAGTGCATTGGAGAGGGGTGAGTGCATTGGTGGTTAGTGTGCAGTCCCAAACTGGACAAAGTGGTGCAACTTTTGCTTAACAACTTTGGCTCCCCTCCCCCCCACACTTTTTTTTTTTTTTTTTCTTAACAACTTTGGAGCAGTGAGGGTGGGGGGATCACACAAATTCATTTAGCATTTTAGGGGGTCGTGGTATTACAAAGTTTGAGAACCCCTGTCCTACTCCATAGCCTCAGCCTCTCCTATGGGTAGCAACATCGCATGGCTGAGCCTCTACACAGTTGCCATGGTCTATGGCAGAGAGTCCCAACTTTTTTTTTTCATGCTGCTCTCCTCTTTCAGAGATTGGGGTCTCATGCCCTCTCTTTCTAAGAAACAGCATTTCCACAAATGCCTGAGGTCCAGGAGCCGATTGCAGAAGGACACCCTCTCTGCTCCCCAACCTGCGAGCATCTGCCCAAGACACAGACTGGGCAAGTGGTCTCAGCAGGACACAGAACACTGATCTGAACCCCTCCCTTGTGCCCTACCTCCACATCCCTTAGATAGGCCAAACTTTCCCCTGGCCCTGGTATAATCACCAGCATGCCTGTGCAAGAGATTGTGTGAGCAGAGAGAAACTACCTCCCAAGGAGGCACACTACATCAGCTTCTGGATAGGTGAGGGAGCTGGAATTCCTCTTCTGTGGAGGGAGAGGCCACGTTCCTCTCCCCTGATCCGTCCCTCCTCCTTACTCTTACAGCCTGGCAGCAGCAGAAGCCACAATGAATGAAAGGAGTCAGGACCTAATGCCCCCGATAACCTCATTGTACTTCCTATAGGGGGCACACTCCACAGTTTGACAACCAATGGCCCTATGGCAAATCTCTGGGATTGTGCCATGTTTTTTGGATGCTTAAAAGAACAGTGTGGCCCAACAAACCTTGTCCTCTCATCCAC